TTTGCTGTGGGCGATGACGTGCTGCTGCTGCCGCCGAAGCGCGGCAAAGTGGGCAAGCAGCTGGGCCGCACCGCATCGTGTGCCGCGTGGTGGAGATCAAGCGGCCCTTTGGCGTGACCATGTACCGGCTGCGGAGCGGAGCTGGAGTGGTGGAGGGTATGCATCAGGCCAGCAGGCTATCTAAGGCGCCACCCAGCCTGGCCAGCGAGCTGACCTTCAGCGGCACGGCGCAGCGAGGAGTGCCTGTGGTGTCTCTCAATGTGGCGATGGCGGCGCAGCCCGGCGGCGGCAAGGCAGCCGTGCGCTGCGGCTGCCGCGGCGCCTGCACCCGGAACTGCAGCTGCAAGAAGAATGGTGCGCGGTGTGGGCGGCACTGTGGCTGTATAACCGGTAAGGGTGGCAATTGCAAGAACCATTGAAAAAGTGTGCCTTGTACGCTTTGCCGTCTCCGCTGGAAGGTGCTGCCGCCTGTGGCGGCTTCATATTTCCTGTTCATTTCTGTTGTTCGGTCTCTCTGTTCGTGTTGGTTGGCTTGTAAGAGTTGTATTTCTGACGCTAGAGAGGTGAGATGACAGCGGGAGCGTTGAAGCGTGCATGCCATCACGTGTGCAAGCAGCCCCGCTCCGCCCCGCTCAACCCTCAAACAGGGCTATATGGGGTCAGTTCACGTATGGGAGGGGAGCGCCGCGCGGGCTGCCAGGAGGGAGCGGGGGCGGGGGTTGCCCAATCGGGAGGGTGCCACATCAGGGGGCAACACATGGCCTCCAGGTGGGCAATAATACGCGCTTCCCTCGGCAACCATACAGTCTCCACCGAGGCAAGGGGTCTGGTGTCATACAGGGGGTCTTGAACGTCCGGCCATCTGCTTGCCGGCCCTCTCTCTTCCCGTTTCAATTACACAGCAGCAACCGTTCGAAGGTTTCGGCTACAATCGGCACGGGCCGCGGGCAGCCGCAGTGATTCCCGGGCCGGCGCTGCAGCTGCCGCGCTGCCGCTGCCGCTGCCGCCGCCTCACGAGCTCTGGCAGCACGCTGTCGTGACCTCGGATAAGTGGAGGCCATGAGGAACCTGAGGGCCGCCTGCATAGCGGCTTGGCAGCAGACCATGGCAGGGTTTACCAGCCTTTCAGGAAGCCCCAGGTGGGCGGCAGCCGCGTTTGGCTGGCACACCGGCTTTGGCCTCACCACTGACACTCGTCGCCTGCCTAGGCACTGAATGCAGGGACCTTTTCGTCGTGTACGCTCTCAAGGTGTGTGGGGGGATGTGGCCTGCCTGGGATGCATTCCACATACCCTGCTCCTCCCCGTTCCTTGCCCATTCTGAGTGTGCTCCTTGTGCCTCGTGCTCCTGGCTCCTCCAACAGGCCTTGGAGTCTTACAACTATTTCTCCTTGTCGCGCTGCCTGACCCTCTATCTGACTGAGGAGTTTGGTGTCAGCGACTACCGGGCAGGTGAACCTTGAGCCGCCGCCGCTTGCATGTGCGTGCTGCTCTTGTGAATCAGCATCAACCTGCTCTTTGCAGGCTTTTTTTACGGCGTGTGGGGAACCCTGCTGACTGCCTATGGGTTCCTGCTGGGCGGTGCTATCGATTACCTAGGTGCGCTGCTGAACCCTAGGCAGGACATGCATGCTGTCGTCACTCACTGTTTTCAAGGTTCCCTATCTGTGGTGCATGCAGGTGTGCGTCGCTCCCTGGTGCTCAGCTTCCTCCTCAACTGCTCCAGCAGGCTGGTCATGGCAGCCACACAGTCCAGGTGAGGCCGCTGGGCCATGTTGCTGCCATGCTGACTTCTTCCTGCTGCCTTCCACCGCATGCTCAGATTAGTGCTGAGCCCCAGTGCTGCCATGCTCGTCTTCTCGCCTTGCAGTCTGCCCTCAGCTCTCTCGACCTGCTGCCGAAGGCAAAACATTTTGCATTTTGTTGCTATGTGACTGTTTCATGCAGGACGCTGCTGCTGATCATGCTGCTGGGCCCCAATTGTATTGCCGGCAGCTTGGGCGTGCCGGTGATGACCATCGGGATCAAGCGATACACACATGAGGGCAACCGCGGCTTTGCCTTTGCCCTGTTCTACACCCTGATGAACTGCAGCGCGTTGACTCAGGTGAGTGCAGGCTCACATGGTTGTGCAAATGGCTTGCATCCTGCTGCTGTGCCAATGCCTGCCCAACTTCCACTTGTCAGGGCCTGCTGATGGACTTGTTTCGCATCGATTTCAAGCACGGTTTCCAAATCCACTCCCTGCCGGACCGCTCTCTGCTCAACAACGGAAGCCGCCTTTTTCTGGCCTCAGGTTGAATGGATGCCTGGCACTGCGGAACATTTGCCGCTGGACTATGCTGCCGTTGCTGCTTCCATTGCATGCATTCTGCTGTTTTCAAGCCGCATCCCTGGTTCCATGCAGGTTGCATAACCTCACTAGTTGGGCTGCTTGTTTCGCTGATGCTGAATGAGAGTGCGCAGCTCGCGCCCAAGCGCACCGGCAGCGAGGTGCTGGAGGGCTCGGTGAGTGTGGGGGTTCTCACTTGGTGGTATTGGGCAAGTGGCTCACAGGGGCTAGCATGTGTTCACAGATGAGTACTTACAGTATGGCCTTCTGCCGCTGCCTCTGCTCCACTGCAGACCCACAGCCACCGTACCACCTCTTCTGCTGAGCTGGAGCTTCCGACTTCCCCAGAAGTGCCCCTGCTGCTGGGGTCTGGCGACAGCCGCAGCAACGGTGCAGCGCCATCCCATGTGCCTCGCCACCGCCTGCACGGTGGATACACCCCGCCAGAAGGGGACACGCCAGCTGAGGGGCAGGAGAGGCCCGGCAGCGGCAGTATTGGTGGCGTCGCCGCGCCAGCAGCAGGGCAGCCGAGCCAGGGTGCCAGCCTGCTGGAAGGTGTGCGGGATGTGCTGTCGTCACGCGGCTTCTTAAAATTCCTCTGTATGTGCATCTTAACGTCCAACTTGAAGACTGTCTTCCGCCATTTGGATGCTACGGTAAGACCTTTGCCTGCTTCACTGTTGGGCTGTGCATATGCAGGTGTGAGTGCAGAGTTTGCAGGACAAGCATGGCAGTGCTTTCTTCGTGGCAGCAAGCAACCATCGCTGCCAACCCATTGCAGCTTCCTAAATATCAGCTGAGAGCCTTTGGCTGCGATTTCCCCATCGGGCTGGTGTACTCAATCAATCCCTTCATGATAGGCAAGCCACAGAGCATGAGCCGCTGCTGGTCGCTTTGTGGCCTGCACTGGACGGCACAGACACTTGTGGCCGTCAACCTTTCATCAACCTTGGTTGGCCCTTCGGCCACCCCATGTGTGCAGTGCTGCTGGTGCCCATCGTGGGCGCCATGACAACCGGGTACCAGCACTTTGGTTAGTTGGGAAGGGCGGGAGATGGGTTATTGTGGCGCTGGGGCGAGGATCATCATCATGGGGCAGCCTGCCTGAGTAGGCGCCAGCTGCCCTGCCACCTGCGTGCTGCAGACATGATCCACTACGGAGGCTATGTTTCTGCTTTGTCACCGTTCATCATCGTGGCTCTCAATTCAGGCAAGGGCATGGAGGGGCAGAGAACAGTCCCATATCTTGCCTGTGCCATGTACTGAGGATTGCAGGTACCCTGTGCCTTGCAGAGCTGTCGACCATCCTTTTTGTCGCAGTCCTGTCCCTTGGGGAGGCCATCTGGTCTCCGCGCTGTTATGACTACAGGTAACAATTTGGGCATTGTTTCAGATCAGAATGTGTCTGTGCTCTGACGATGCCTGTGCTCTGACAATGTGTTGCCAACTTTTTAAACATCTCATTTCCTGCATCCTCGGGCACGTGCAGCATGGGCATAGCGCCTCATGGGCGAGAGGGGATCTTTACCGCCCTGTCATCCGCTCCACTGTTTATTGCCCAGCTGCCCACAGGTGGTTGCCTTGCTGTGGCTGCGCTCGCTGCCCACGGAGCATACTGGCTGGGTCGGCCGATTGATGTGATGCTGCCATGTTCACGTGTGGGATCTTGGTGCAGGCATGCTTTCTGGTGCCCTGCTGCAAGCATACTGCCCTGACAACGCACAGTGTGGAGGAAACCAAGGCCAGGAGGGCAGGGGCAGGCGCTTGCTGATGGCGGCCGGCGCCGGTTGCAGCGGGCGCAGGCTGCAGGGTCTGGTAGGAGCATCGGCAGGGCTGGGCGATGTCCCGCCGCCCGAGATGCCCACCTGCAATGGGCGAGCGCTGTGGGCAATAGTGGGTGCTATTACGCTGTCCTCGCCGCTCTTGGTACTGCTAACACAGGTGCACCTGGGCGCTGGCAGCAGGTTGGGCTGCGAGAGCAGACGCGAGCTGCTCTGTCTATGCATTTTGGCAGCTCCGAACAGCTGTTGGTCTCTGACCGCTGTGTGCCTGCCTCAGCAGCGTTGGATTCGGCCAGACCCTCAGGACTTTGCCAAGGCGGATGCGGGGCACCGTGGCAGGTATGTGTCGCGGTGGGCATGCTTCGCCATGCTTGTGTATCAGCACCAAATGCCCTGCTGCAGCAACGCCTCTTTGCTCAGGGGTTTACTTTGCAGCTGGATTTCAGTCTCCTTGGGGCGTTTCAGTCTGCTGCGACCTGCCCTAATCAGTGTCTTCTGCGGCACATGGCTGCGGCTTTTGCGCTGATCAAAGTTCCTCCCCGGTGCAGGTCGCCGACAGAGGGCGAGTACTTTGACATCAACGCAGCAGATCCAACCGATATGCTGGAGAATGTGTGCGTTTCCAGCCTGCTACACGCACCAGATGGCGGCATTGAGTCCCCGGCTGTGCGCCCGGGAAGCGCGGGCACTAGCTCGCAAACGGCATCCGGCGAGCGCAGCGGCATGCGCAGCGCAGGCTGATGGTCACCTGCACTTCCCCTGCACCATTGCTTCATGTCATCGCATGCCTTCGTTTGCTCGGCTGCTTGATTCTCTTGTATCATTGTTGCAGCTCTTCTTGTATCATCATTGTTGCAGCTCTGGCCCGCGCGCGCTGGCGCCATGCTGGGCCTGCGTTGAGTTTTGGATAATCCGTTGTGGGGACAATCAAGTCGACGTGCACCCGGCCTACACTGTCTTTAGTCTCTAATCTTGATCTGAATCACAGCCGCCAACGCAGAGTCGTTTTCGCGCACGAAAATGACCGCATGTCGAGTCCCATTCGCGAGCCTGGTGCTGCTGGTGTGTCTCTCGGGCCTTCCCGGTGCATTTTCCAGGCGAATGCAAGGTGGGTGAGCGATGCAGCCCTGCATGCCGGCTGCGCCACTGTACCAGCACGCCGCCCAAGAGCAGAGCAGGGAGCTGTGCAACCCTAAGTGCATTAGTTGAGTGCGGCCTGAAGACTCTCAACGGCGCGGCACCCAGGCTCGGCCAAGCTCTCCGACCCGCCGCCGCCGCCATGCCGCCGTCGCCCGATTGATGGACGGCGGCGGCCGCTGATGAAGCTGCTTGCCTGCACTGCCCTTCAGATGTGGAGATGGCGGGCCACGATCACAGCATGCATGATCACAGTTCGCACGATGCCAGCATGGGAGAGGGCGGGGACGATACAGGCATGGTCATGATGGGCGGCAGCGTCAACATGGACGACCCCTGCTACACCACGCCCTCCGCCGACAGCTGCTTCTCCTTCAACCGCTCCGATGCGGGTGCGTGTCATCCACTCACTGCTGCTGGCACCATTGTCGGTGAATCTGCACACCTCTGCCTGCCCCTGGCACGCATGCATGCCTGCGTGCATGTGTTTGTACCAGCCAGGCTGGCTGAACTGAACTGAGCAAACTTGGCCCCTCCCCCCTTGCCCTGCTGTAGACTGGACGGATGACCTCACGCAGCTCTGCAGCGCCATGCCCTTCATGATTGGGTGCTCCCTTTGGGGGCAGTGCCAGGTGCAGCAGTTGTCCAGTGCTGCAGCGCTTGCCTCTATCTGGCTTCAGGAGAGCCGGTTCGACCCAAGCCAAACTTAGCGTCACCTGTTTGCCTGCCTGCCTGACGCGCAGAATGGCACCGCCAGCGGCACCTACTGTGTACTGCCTTCACTCGTTGGGGACGTCTGCATCGACATGCCTCGGGTGAGGCTCAATGCCGGTCTCGCTTTTGCCTGCCAGTTGTTTTTCTGTTAACCAATGGAAGAAAGCAGCCTGCACAGACTAGCTGCCCCCGTGTACTGCTCACTGTTATCATGTGCACTGCCCTGGCCCGTGGTGGGGCTGTGCAGATGAAGGGGTGCGAGGCGTACAACGCGCTGTGCGGCGGCAACGCCACCGCCGTGGAGCAGTGCATGAGCCCGGGCCCAATCCCCGACGTGCTGACCACTTTCACGGCCAAGGAGGGTCTCGAGGTGAGCCCCTGGCTGCTACTGGCGGGCTGGCAGCTGTGTCTGCACTTGTTCGCCATAATTGGCCCTGAAAGGAGTGCCTCCTGCCTACCCTTGTCTTGTGCAGAGCCTCTGTGACACCCACTGCATGGCTGGATGCGGGGCGTGTGGCTCGAGCGGGGACTGGACCACCTGCACCGACCCACTCATGGTGCTGGCTAGGATGTGCTTCGGTGAGCTTGCCATGCTGCTGGTGCTCAGCAGCTGCCATGGCTGGCAGGCAGGTGGGGAGCTGGCGGGGCAGCGCCGAACAGACGCCCGTGGTCTTCAGCCATGCACCACCCGCCCTGCAGAGATGGAGATGATGCCCGAGTGCGGCGCCACCGGCTTCACCACCATGTGCGAGGACGAAGAGGTGAAGGCCACCTTCCCCCTAGTGTGCGAGGAGCCGCCCGCCCCCGTGGACGACTGCGCTTGAACCAGCCACTGTGCTGGGACCGACTGGAATTTTATTTCGCTTGCGCGCGTGGCAGCAGCAATGCTGTTGCATGCGATTCCCCTTCCTGTCCCGCTCCAACTTGACACTCGTCACATTTTTGTGCTATGTGCTGTTTGGTGTGCTCCAAAACTCTCACACTGCTGCTTTCTCACACTACTGCCAATGTGCTTGTCAATACGTGAGTGCACAGGAGAACTGATGGATGTGGACGTTGCCCAACAATAGTAGAGTCCTTTGCCGTTTGTGCTGGAAGTGCTGAGGGCTGGGCTGGCGGGGGGGCGGGGGGAGGGGTTCAGGCATGCATGGGATCACACACACTGATTGAACAGATTGTCCTGATCCCCTGCATCAGCCATGCACATCAAAGAATGCCAGGGGTACAGTTCAGGGCAGCCAGGGGCTGGGCGGCGCCAGAGATACAGGGCGAGGTACAGGTCAGGATTGCCTCCTTGGCGCGGGCCCCAGGGCCTGCAACAGGGAGTCGGTAACATCTGCCGCACAGCCTGCAGCCCTGCAGTTTCGTGAGGTCTCTTATCTTCGCTCTATCTTGTGCCTGGGGGAGCGGCTCCTTGGCTACATAGCCTGCATTTGCACCCAACAGCTCAGATGGCGTCAATTACATCGCGTGCAAGCGCCCGGGCGTCCTGCAGCCAAGCAAACACGCGGGCTGGCCGGGTGGCTCTGAGCGGTGGCGCATTGCTGCGGCCTGCTCGGCCGGCTCGCAGCTTCGTGCCGGCGCGCAAGCAGCAGCAGGGTGAGGCCAGCAGCCACACCCCGAAGGTCACCGCCGCCGCTTCCGTGCCGCCCAACGCTCTGCTCTGCCCAGGTGGCTCAACTCTGCCCAGCTCAAGCCCATTGCATGTGGCTGCTCCTGTATACAGGCGCGGTCCGTCGCGGAGGTGCGCTCTCGGCACGCGCCTCTGCGGTGGAGGACATCCGCAAGGTGCTGTCTGACAGCAGCAGCCCGGTGGCGGGGCAGAAGTACGACTACATTCTGGTCGGCGGCGGCACCGCGGCCTGCGTGCTGGCCAATCGCCTGTCCGCCGACGGCTCCAAGCGTGTGCTGGTGCTGGAAGCCGGCCCCGACAACACCTCGCGCGACGTCAAGATCCCCGCCGCCATCACCCGCCTCTTCCGCAGCCCCCTCGACTGGAACCTCTTCTCCGAGCTGCAGGAGCAGCTGGCGGAGCGCCAGATCTACATGGTGCGTGCCGCGGCGGCACGGCAAAGCAGTGGGAGGCCGCTGGGCTGGCCCTGTGCGCATTTCTCGCCTGCAGCTGTGGACTGGTGTGCATACCTTCCTTTCCGTGTCGCTTTGGTTCGGCTGCAGGCGCGCGGCCGGCTGCTGGGCGGCAGCAGCGCCACCAATGCCACGCTGTACCACCGCGGCGCGGCGGGCGACTATGATGCCTGGGGCGTGGAGGGCTGGAGCTCGGAGGACGTGCTCAGCTGGTTTGTGCAGGCGGAGACCAACGCCGACTTTGGTGAGGCACCAGCAGTTTGCTACCTTTTTCTTTTGGTGGAGAAGCAGCCGGCCTGTGGATGTGCACAAGTGTATAGCAGTGTGTAGCAGTTTGAGGCCATCAGCATCAGCGGTGCTGAGAATCCCGCAAGTCGGCAGTTGGATGCGTACGCGGTGCCCTGGACTCTGGCTAGGCGCTGAGCGCACCAGCGCTTCTCTCGCCCGTCGCTCGCCTGCAGGCCCTGGCGCGTACCACGGCAGCGGCGGCCCTATGCGTGTCGAGAACCCACGCTACACCAACAAGCAGCTGCACACCGCCTTCTTCAAGGCCGCAGAGGAGGTGGGGCTTACCCCAAACAGCGATTTCAACGACTGGAGCCACGATCATGTGAGAACACTGCACGGGGGAAGCAGCTCCAGGCGAAAGGAGGGAATCTGGAGCGTTGAGGAAACTACACGGCTTTGGAGTGTGCCACAAGGGTTGATTCCGTGCCTCACTCACCTTCTGCTGCCTGCCTCATCTATTCCCCTTCCCGTGGGGCGTGCAGGCTGGGTACGGTACCTTCCAGGTCATGCAGGACAAGGGCACACGTGCCGACATGTACCGGCAGTACCTCAAGCCCGTGCTGGGCCGCAGAAACCTGCAGGTGATGCAAGCAGCCTGCCGCCTGTTGTCACTCCGCTCTGATGCAGAACTGTAGTTTGTTGCTGCTGCCGTTTGTGTCCAACCATTCCCTGGCTTGTTGCTGGACCGAATTGTGGCTCGCTCCCCCGCTCGGTATGTGCAGGTGCTGACCGGCGCGGCCGTGACCAAGGTCAACATTGACCAGGCTGCAGGCAAGGCGCAGGCTCTGGGTGTGGAGTTCTCAACCGACGGGCCCACAGGTGGGTGGACAGGGCGCTGCTGGCTCGCTCTCCAGCCTGACATGGGCATCCTGCCAGCTGCGTGGGACTAGCTGTAGAAGGACAGTCGTTGCGGAGGACCGCTGTGATGGGATGGTGCTTTAACCCCTGCCTCATGGCCGCGCAGGTGAGCGGCTGAGCGCTGAGCTGGCGCCAGGCGGCGAGGTGATCATGTGTGCCGGCGCCGTGCACACGCCCTTCCTGCTCAAGCACAGCGGCGTGGGGCCCTCGGCGGAGCTCAAGGAGTTTGGCATCCCGGTGGTTTCCAACCTGGCAGGTGCGGCAGGGTGCTTGTCGGTGGAAGCAGGACTGCTGGATAGCTGGTGTAGCAGGATAGCAGGGAACCTGGGAAGGCGCTGCCTCACCGCCCTCCTTTGCCTGTGTGCCTGCAGGTGTGGGTCAGAACCTGCAGGACCAGCCCGCCTGCCTGACCGCGGCGCCGGTCAAGGAAAAGTATGATGGCATCGCCATCAGCGGTGAGCGAAACTCGCTTTTGGGACAAGCGACGATGTGTGGAGCAGCGGAGCAGTGAAGCAGTGGAGCAGCGGAGCAGTGGAGCAGCGGACCAGCAAATCTAGTCTCCACCGTTGCTTTCAGTGATGTGACATCAAGGGTGCCATGTGACCATTGATGCCAACCCTTGCCCTGCACGGCGCCCCGCCGCTCTGCAGACCACATCTACAACGAGAAGGGCCAGATCCGCAAGCGCGCCATTGCCAGCTACCTGCTGGGCGGCCGCGGCGGCCTCACATCCACCGGATGCGACCGCGGCGCCTTTGTGCGCACGGCAGGTGCGCACTCGACACACGCATGCAAAGGCAGGTTGTCCACGCAGGTTGGCATGCCCTCCACACTGGTATGGCCTGTGGTCTCTGGTTGTTGCCAAACACGCTGGCCCTGCTCTTGCGTCCCTGCCCGCGGGGTGCAGGCCAGGCGCTGCCAGATCTGCAGGTGCGCTTTGTGCCGGGCATGGCGCTGGACCCGGATGGCGTGTCCACGTATGTGCGCTTTGCCAAGTTCCAGGTGAGCCCGGCGTTGAAGGGCGGCCAAGAGCAGTCAGATGAGGAGCCACATTCAACCTTGATGGCGTATGCTTCAGATCGAGCTGTACAATGTCTGCCTGCACGTGTGGGGTTGTATCATGTTCTGACAGTTGTTCTTGGCCGCGGTTGCTGCTGCCTGCAGTCCCAGGGGCTCAAGTGGCCCAGCGGCATCACCATGCAGCTGATCGCCTGCCGCCCGCAAAGCACGGGCAGCGTGGGCCTCAAGAGTGGTGAGCGCGCAGTGCTGGTTGGGCGGATACAGCAGGAGAACGTCGTTTGGACACGGTGTGTCCAGTCCAATGGCAGGGTATTAGCAGCCCAAATCGCAACTTGTCCGTTGATGCACTTGTCCCTGCAGCCGACCCCTTTGCGCCGCCCAAGCTGAGCCCCGGCTATCTGACGGACAAGGACGGCGCTGACCTGGCCACGCTCCGCAAGGGCATCCACTGGGCGCGCGACGTGGCGCGCAGCAGCGCGCTCAGCGAGTACCTGGATGGCGAGCTGTTCCCCGGCAGCGGAGGTGCGCCTGTGCTTCTGTATGAATCACAAAATGAAGCAGGTCACTTATGTATTGAAATTTGTGTGGCTGCGCTTGGAAGTCGTATATTGCTGTGGTCTGTCTGCGCAGTGGTGAGCGATGATCAGATTGATGAGTACATCCGCCGCAGCATCCATAGCTCCAACGCCATCACAGGCACATGCAAGGTGGGCAGGCCCTGTCTGTTGCCGTGATGCATGATGCGTGCATTCCAGGCGGCACTGGAGAAGGACGGCAGCAGGAGGGTGTGCCTTGTGTTCAGCTGAAGCGATAGATGGTCACCCTAACTGTGCAGATGGGCAATGCCGGCGACAGCAGCAGCGTGGTGGACAACCAGCTGCGGGTGCACGGTGTGGAGGGCCTGCGGGTGGTGGATGCCTCGGTGGTGCCCAAGATCCCAGGTGTGTTTCCTTGATGTTGCCTGACCATTGCTACACAGTGGCATGCCCTGGTTGGTGGTCTGGGCTGCATGCCAGGGTTTGGCATGGCCATGCATCCCATTCCCGAGTTTGGGTGAGGCAATGGAGGCCTGTTCCTCGTTGTGCAGGTGGCCAGACGGGCGCGCCAGTGGTGATGATTGCGGAGCGCGCCGCCGCGCTGTTGACTGGCAAGGCGACGATCGGGGCGAGCGCTGCGGCCCCGGCGACAGTGGCAGCATGAGTGCTGCCTGCGCGCCGCTTACTAGAGCCGATCGCACCCACAAATGCTACCGCCAATCCCCCCATGTGTTTATCTTTTCTGCTGAGTTTTGATTCGTACTGATGTGCCACCCCTGTGATGCCATGCTGAGACAAGAACACTGACTCTGCTTAATCTGACTCTTCGCTCTGTTTCAATTTTGCCATGCACGACTATGATGAATAGCACATTCAACTGTAAACAACAAGAACTGCACTCTCGGAAGGAAGCAGCAGGGCGTCGCTGTGTAGGACCGCGGGACCAGGTCGCCAGCACTGCTGGCACCATTCACAGTTAGCTGGCAGTTCCCTTAAAGTGCTCCTGCGCCGCCTCCAGCTTCGTGGCAACCACGTTGCACAGGGGGTCTGCCCTGACCAGCTGATTCTGCAAAAGATGGATGCAGTTTTAAAAGGCATGTCTGAAGGCATTGGGACAGGGAAAGTATGTTGCATTGGGACAGGGAAAGCATGTTGCCATGCAGCAGACACGCACAACATGCCATGCATCGTGCGGTGCACTCCCATGCTACCATCCCTCACCTGCGCTCCTCCTAGCACAATGCCGCTGTAATGTTGGCTGCAACTCAGGCCGCTGCACCATGAGTTGCGAGTGCATGCCATCATCTAGCATCTAGCTTGAAAATGAATGCAGGAAATAACAATGGAAACCAAAACAAACATTTGGCTGTCATTCCCAATGGCGCATCGCCCTACCTGAGGCAGTAGCAGGTGTGGTAGTAGTCCGCTGGTTTGCCTGGCTTGTCACGCAGGCCGCCCCTCGGCATCTACAAGTGCAACCTTGACACAGGAGATTGTCACCACAGAGTGAGTGCACCCATTTGAGGCTGGACCACAGACTCGCGTGTAAAAAGCAGCTCGCACTACCCCGTAACGCAACTCACCACTTGGCAGCACTTGAGCAGCCACAGCTGCAACGCTGCCGCATCGTACAGCAGCGGCAGCCCCTCCAGCTGCTCTGCCTCACCACTGCCGACGCTGCTGCCCGTGGGAAGGGCCTGGTCCAGCAGCGTGGCCGCACCACGGCTGATTGCATCCACATGCTGTTGGCAGCTCTCCAGCGCCTTTTGCAGCTCGGAGGCCTTGTCCAGAAGTGCCAGCGCCTGCTGCTGCAGTGGCCCGCCAGCGGCCACCCCCGCCGCCGCCTTGTACCGATCCTCTGCCTCAATAGATGCCTCCACCACAGCATCCAGCTGTTTCTGAAGATCCTGCTGCCGGCGCTCTGCTGCTGCCTGGGGGGACAGGTGGGGCAGGCTGGCCACCCACTCTGCCAAGGTGGTGCTGTCATCATCGCCGCTATCAGCTGCCAGCAGCGCAATGATTCGGTCGACAGCTGCCGCCGTACCGGAAACATCTGCTGCTGTAGATGGCGCGACCTTCTTTGCTGCTGCCGACACGGCTGCTGCGCCCTGCTGCTCCTTCAACAGCGCCACCAGCAGTGGGAACACGCCGCCCTGCCAGAAGCTGTAGCACCCGTCCACAAGCTTGTTTGTGCGCCCCATAAAGCCGCCCTCCACCTGCCCCTGCAACACATCAAACGTACATACAGGAAACTCAAATCGTAGAAGACATGAGGACAACAAACTACCAATTGCAATAACGAGCGCTTTCCCATCCACGTCATCTACCTGGCAGCGCACTGCCCAGCGCAGCAGCCGATCCAGGTCCAAGGCATGCGCTTTCCCCAGCAGTGCCGCAGCAGCCAGCCCACAGAAGGTGTAGCCGCCGTGCGCCTCATTCCAGGGCTCGCCCCCAATGCCCCCCTCATGCGACTGCACGCAGCAGCACACAGGTCACTTCAATGCACAGTTTAGTGCATTATCTCAGTTGATTAAAAGTCTGCCATTGGGGCAAAGCATTTTAACCAAGGATGCCCAACACAACACAGTAGCCATCGCCAGCATTGGCATACCTGGCAGCGGCAGATGTAGTCGACCATGCCACATGCGTCAGCCACAGCACTCTTGTCTAGAAGCAGCATCTCACAGGCCGCCAGCGCGCAGTAGCAGCCCCGTACATCCACCTCGCCGCCTGCTGGTTGTTTGGTGTGGGGGTATGGCAGTCTGTCACGACAAAGCGATGTGCATGAAATCACCAGCTGGACAGCAAACTTTGCAACGACTCACCTTCATGCATGGTCATGCCGCCACCCTGCTCTGCCGGCACACACATGCGCAGCAGGAAGGAGAGCAGCTTGGGGCGGTCCACAACTGCAGCTCGGGCAGGAGGGGGAACGCAGGCAAGTTGTAAACACACAGTTGCTGGCGCCCAGCAGCGTTTAACATGCGATTCGAGGGTCCGAGCAGTCCTACCTCCCAGTGCATCAGCTCCACCCAAGGTGACCAGTGTGCTCACAGCTGCAGTTGAGGCAACTGTTGAGGTCATTTCCACAAACAGTGTGCAGATTACGCACGCAGACAACTAGGGGACAATGTGTAGGCAGATGTGACTGGCAGCTGCACCTGCGTATGTGGGCGCCAGGTGCGCGAGCTGGTATGGACCTCCGCCAAAACCGCCCTCAGGGTGCTGCAAGGCATGCGGCCGAGAGGTGCAGGCTGGCAGTCTCTGCCAGACGTCCATTGTCCATACATGCAATGCAGAGCAGGACGCACCTGGCAGCTAGCGATGAAGGCGATGATGCTGTCCCTGTCGGGCGCCTGGGGCACGGGGCCCCCAAGCAGCGCCGGCTTGCACTTCCATGGGAGGCCCCTTCACCACAAAAACTGTCCCCCAACCAGCAGTTCGGCCCCATTACCCAAGCAACCAAAACCGATGGCCCATGGCCGACAGCACACACGGCACCTGTGGGTGACCCAATAGCAGATCCAGGTGCGGGAGGCGTCCAGGGAAATGAACCCTGCAGCAGACCAAGCAGGTGCACATGCCCGGTTGCCCTTGATTCGCTGCTAGCACAGCGGAGCTGCTCTGGCGAGACGCCTTGCCATCCGCACTTGCTGCCCGTAGATCGCACCCGAGGGCAGCTGGCCCAGGCCACCATACAAGTACTTGATGTGCTGCTGCGGATTCAGTGACAGGCCCTCCTCGTCCTCGAGATCGAGTTTGCCTGCAGGTGACAGGTGGGAATTGGTCGGGAGGCGCCATCGGCGGCCAGCGGCGGATGACGGGCTAGCTGCTCAGGGCAGCGCGGCCCCAGTTCCTCGTGTGGGCACACCATCTGCATATTCTGTTGCATAGATGTGGGCAACCCTGCGCTCCAGCTCCGCTTGATCGATCGAGGTGGTGGTCTGCAGGCTATCGTCGATAGTCATGGCTGCTACGTGACGCAGACACCACGCTGAAAGTGCTCTTCGAGTGTCGGGCGGAGATTCTCGGCCCGAACTCCCTCTTCTCGCAGCAGTCGTAGCAGGGCTTACAATGCTCGGGCCAGGAGGGCCTGGTAACTGGCGCAGTTTGATCGGAAGTTCTTGCAACTCGTCCGCTGGTTGCATGCAGTCGCGCATCGCCCGACATGGCTGCGGCAGACAAGGGGCAGCCCACAGAAAAGCTTATACGCGTGCACGATGAGCCTGGCGCGGTGCAGTTCACGTACAGAAGAGCCGCCGCCCTGAGCTTCTCCCTCGGCACGGGACTCGCTGCCAATGGCGCCGCCGCCGCCGACGGCCTGCTAGCCGTCGTAGACGAGCGCGTGCAGAGCGTGCAGCCTGCAGTGCCACCAGCTCTAGAGGAGGAGCTGGAGGACTTCATCTCGCTGGATGCGCCGCCAGCAGCAGCAGCAGCAGCAGTAGCGGCAGTCCAGGTGCGGCATTGGGGGCACGTGCATCAAAAACCAGCAGGCATCCTCTCCTCACGCCTGTGTATCAAGGTGAAACCTTGCCTGAAGTGTTACCTGCCATGCCCATGCATCAGCAGCGACCAAGCTCAGCAGGGGCGGTGGGAAGCTTGCTAGACGACTATGTGTCTTTAGGCATTTTGGACAACCCGGCAGCGGCAGGCGCCGCAGCGGCAGGCGCGCCTAAGCCGGCAGGCAGCACCAGGCCGCAGCCGCTGAAGCGAGTGCCATGGATGGCGGCGCTGAAGGGCATCCGCAGCCCACTGCTGCGCCTCCACCAAGGCATGTGGACGCGCTCGCTGCTCAACTTCCTGCTGCTGTCGTTGCCGTGAAAGGCCCCGATAACGTTTTTTTCGTCGCCTGTCACTCCTGATCCATCGCCTGCCTGCCCGTGTTCAAACCCGGCCACCTGCTCCTGTGCCGCCCCATCCCTGCAGAGATCGTCGAGTTCTGCCGCTACCTGGCGCCCTCGGCGGAGGAGCAGGCGCAGCGGCAGGCGGCCATGGACCGCATCGAGGCCGTCGTCACCAGCATCTGGCCCAAGGCCCGGCTGCAGGCGTTTGGCTCCTTTGCCACAGGTGTGCCGCTGTTGGGCATGCAAGCACAGTACTGCAGACGTGTCAACGCAATCTGTCTCTGGAGTAGGTAGGGGGCATAAGCACCTGTACACACGGCCTTGTGGCCTGCACGGTATCCTCCCTGCAGGGCTGTACCTGCCCACCTCTGACGTGGATGCGGTCGTCATGGGCAGCGGCTGCGCCGATGTGCCGCAGGGCCTCAAGGCACTGGCTAACGCGCTGGCCCGCAAGAACATGGCCAAAAACATGCAGGTGAGGCCTTCTGGCTGGGTTCCTGCTGTGAAGGTCTCCAGGTCTAAAAAGCGCTGCGTTTTACTGGCGGACAGTCCAGTAGGCAGCCTAGTCTGGGTAATGAAACCCGCCTGCAGGCCAATGCTGCCATGCTGCCCTCATTCTGTTTCGCAGGTGATTGCCAAGACCAAGGTGCCCATTTGCAAGTTTGAGGATGCGGAGAGCGGGTACAACTTTGACATTTCGTTTGACGTGGCCAACGGGCCCGAGGTGGGGTTGGCTGGGCTGCGCATGTCATGTGGCGACAACCTGGGCGGTGCACATGACCAAAACGCACCACTTTGCTGTGCTGGAACGCTGCCCGAACCTGCAGGCCGCCGAGAATGTGCGGGCGCTGATGGATGCGCTGCCGCCGATGCGGCCGCTGGTGATGGTGCTCAAGGTCTTCCTGCAGCAGCGGGAGCTGAACGAGGTGGGGTCGGGTGCTGGACCACCCATCACACGGTAACTGTGCTATCTTACTTCGCACGGATCCACCACCCCACAACACCTGATGCTGCCTGTCGTCCCGACAGGTCTACTCTGGCGGGCTGGGCAGCTATGCGCTGCTCGTCATGGTGGCCACATTCCTGCAGCTGCACCCCTCGCGCCAGCCGCCAGGTGACTGCGGCCGCCATCCATGCTGCCTGCTGCCATGTGTTTTTGGTTGTCCTGGCGTGGTTGATTGGGTGGCCTGCATCAGCCGCTGGCAGTGGTTTTGTTAGGGCAGCTGAACCGGTGCTCGGTGCCGTGTGTTGCAGCCAGCGTGCACCGCTACGGCAGCAGCAAGGGCCAGGTGGTCGCCAGGGAGCTGGAGGGCTGCTTGGGCGTGCTGCTCGTCGACTTCCTGCGCTTGTATGGCCGGGCACTGAACAATGTGGAGGTGGGCGGGGCTGTGATGTCGCTGATCTGCAACTGTCTGGATGCGGGTTGGAGCTCGCCTGGATTGCCTCGATTGTCGGTGTGGTGTGTTGTGCAGGTCGGCGTCAGCTGCCGCAAGGGCGGCTCGTACTTCAACAAGCGCGCCAAGGGCTTCTTCCAGGTGCGAGGGAAAACACAGACAGCAGCACGCACCGCAGGCTCCTTTGCCTGGTTGCTGGTCCCTTTGAAGCCCACACTTGTGCAGCGCTTGCCTGGGATTTGGACTGTCAAGCCACTGAGTCCTGCCATTCATGCCCGCAGCCGGACCGCCCCTTCTTGTATTCTGTGGAGGACCCCAACGACCCCACCAACGACCTGGGCCGCAACAGCTACAACATCAGCAGGGTGCGGGGCATGGGCAGCCTCTTTTTGGGGGGCCTCTTTGCCATGCACGCGCCAGGTTGGCGGGCTTGGGAAACAAGCCGTCGTGCAGTCCTGGCAGCCTGCAGTGAAGCTCCCAGCCTGACATGCTGCCTGCCCTGCCTGCCACAGGTACGGATGGCTTTTGATTGGGCCTACTGCCAGATCATCGCGCCCGCGGAGCTGGGCACGTCGCTGCTGCAGCGCGTCATCCGGTGAGCGGCAGCCTTGGCCACCCGCGCCGCAGAGTTGTGTATTGCTGTTGAGCACCAGTGGGCTGCCGACACGGCACCAATGTTGAGCTCAGGCTGTCTCCCCCATGCCATCTGTGCAGCCTGGACCCTGTGCTCTTCCTGCGAGCCCCGCCCTCACCGGTGGACGACTCGCCCCCACCGCCACCTGGCCTCTCGAAAAAGAAGAAGAAGCACAAGCGGCAGGGAGAGGAGGGTGATGATGAGGAGGAGGACCAGCAGCGAAAGCGGCAGAAGAAGCGGCGGCGGCACCGCGAGCGCAGCTTGTCAGATGAGGATGGGGAGGTGGCCGGCAGCGGTGGGCGGTGGCACCTGGAGGACGTGGAGGAGAGTGAAGAGGAGGAGCGGCGGCCTGGTCACAAGAAGCAGCGGCATCATCACCACCACCATGGCCACCACCACCATGCGCAGCAGCAGCAGCAGCAAGGCAGCAGGTGGCAGCGGCAGCAGCAGAATGGTGGAAGATGGGAAGAAGAGAAAGGGGGGGGGAGCAGTCGCCATGTTTATTTTGATGACTGAGGTGCGGCGCCGCTCAACCAGCTCGGAACTCGGTAACATGACACACATGGCAAATTTTCTGCTCAGGAGTACAGTGCTGGGGACAAAATGCGGTCCGGGCGCGCGCAAAACACAAAACTGTTGGGCGGGGCGTCAGCCGCGCCTGGCGGCTGCCATCATGTCCAGCTGCTGTGCCGCGCTCACTTGCCAGCGGAGGCCTTGAGCTTGGCGAGCAGCTGCTTCTTGCGCTTGGCACTGATTCCCTGCTTCTTGGTTCCCTACAGCAGGTCGGAGTGGGCATCCTCAGGTCAGTGTCGGCGTCTAAAGACCGGGTGCAAAAACACAAGGCTAATTGTACAACCTCCAGCCCCAGTTTTTGCACACGGCGATCCAGGCCTCTTACCTCCAAGTTGTAGCCCTCGGAGCTCGCACGCTGCAAGTAGCAGGCAACAAAAGCAAAAATGGTGTGGACGGAGCAAAGGATGTGCGGGCACAATTCACCGGCTGCGCGCATTCGCACATCATCCCCAACCAGGGCGCCCCCAACCAGGATCCTTGGATATAGCAATAAATGGGGCCCATGACATGCAGGACAGCAACCCACATAGCTGTTTTTCGGAGCAGGCTGCGCCGCCTCTGCGGCGGTGGCGGTAAGGCCCAGCACCGCTGCTGCAACCAGGCCCAGGACCGCGCGGCGCTCCACGGGCTGCTGGTCAGCCGCCTGCGCGCAAACCACCACCTGCTGCCGGCGAGCCACCTGGGCCTTGGCGGGGGCCGCCTGCAGGGCAGCCGGCAGGAGGGCCCGAATTCAAGCCCAGCATTGCCTACATCGGGCATCAAGAGTGGCGGCGAGTCCTGCACGCCCGGCATCGCGGTGCCCAAGCCCTCACCACGAAGCGGGTGGAGGCGGAGAGAGCCAGCATGATCGCCTGAAGATGACGATAACGGGGGAGGGCTGCGGCGATGTCGGGACTAGCGTTGTGTCCTGATTTTTCCGGATCAGGTGAAAAAGCAGGACACCTCTGAGGTACACAAGAGCGGCCGCCCCTCGGTTTGCCTGGGATTCCGACGAGGAATCGCTCCTTGGTCCCTGCAAGCTCGGGCTGCAGGCCTCTGACGAGCCGCTTTGCCCCTTTCCGAAAAGCCAGAACTGCGCAGGGAATTCGCTGAACGATAGGCCGGCCACGCATTGCAAGTCAGCCAGTACAGGAATTCACCCAAGGTGCAATACCGGCGCCTTGCCGTCGCCGCCGCCGCCCGCCACCCGCTGCCAGCAGCGCCCCCGACCCATCTCGCCCATCGAGCACTCTCTGCGCAAGCAGCGCCTGCCACAGCGGCTGCTCCCATGAACGTAAAAAAACGCAAGGCGGGCGGCAGCCTGGCAGGCAGCATTAATGCGCTGATGGATCGACTGGAGGCTGTCAATGCCTCTCTCCTTCAGGCAGCATCCGCCAGCGCGGTGCAGGTGCAGCTGAAGAAAATAAAGTCATTGGACAGCTCAGCAGCAGCCAAGGGCATCAGCCCCTCCCTCTCCTCCCTGCCGGTCGACCACCAGGAGCTGGCGCGCCGGCTCGAGCGGCAGCAGCGCTTCAAGGAGGAGAAAGCCGCAGCGGCGGCAGCGGCGGGGATCAAGGACAGCCAAAAGACACTGGTGGAGCTGCGCTCAGAGCAGGGGGTGGCCCGCGGCCAAAATCTGCAACTAGAGAAGGACTATTTACGGCTGACCGCTCTGCCAAGGTGGTGGAGAGGGGCTGGATCGGGCTATTTCACATGCATCGCTTGCCCATGTTGTGCCACCAGGTGGATCATCCGCCTGCTGCTGCTGTTTTGCAGTGCCGTAGATGTGCGGCCCCCGGAAGTGCTGCGGCAAGCGCTGGAGCTGGTGAAGCGGCGGTGGACAGAAGGGTGGGACTACAAGGATTGTTGTAACCAGCTCAAGAGCATCCGCCAGGACCTGACGGTGCAGCACATCAGGACGGTGCTCACGGTGCAGGCGAGTGGCTGCCGCCCCCGCTATTCCTATCTACATGTTGGCTGCATGGCTGGCGGCGCAGCTTTTTACCTCTCCTCTCGTGCATGGTGGCTGCTTGTGGGCGTGCAGGTGTACGAGACGCACGGGCGCATCGCCATCGAGGTGGGCGACTTTGCAGAGTACAGGCAGTGCCACAGCGTGCTGCAGCAGCTGTACGCAGACGGCGTGCCGGTGAGTCCCCTTCATGCCCCTTGGTCGCGGCCATAGGGCTAGCGCGACCTGCTGGCAGGCCGAGGCAAGTGCGGCTGCTGAGTATATGTTTTGCTCTCATCCTGGTCCATAATGTCGACAGGGCGAGCACAGAGAGTTCTGTGCTTATGGGCTGCTGTATGCGGCGGCCACGGGGCGGAACGTGCTGGCACATGAGATGACCGAGGCCTTCTCCAGCAGCGGCAGCAGGTTGAGCGCCAGCGGCGGCAGCAGCCTGGCCGGCGACCGGTTTGTGCGCCATGCGCTGGCGGTGTGCCGCGCATACCTCAACGGCGATTTTGTGTTGTACATGCGGATGTACAAGGATGCTCCACGGATGACCCCCTACCTCATGGACCTGCTGCTGGCGAAACTGAGAGTCAGGGCATACCGTGAGTGGGGGTATTGTTTTGTGTATAAGACGGGTGGCGTAGCTTGCATGCTTGTTGCCGCAATCCGCTGGCATCCGCTGCTGCTCATTGCCGAATGCAGAAACCGTGCTCGCCGCCTTCATCCCTTCTGTACCCCTGTCAGCATTAGCCAACTGGTTTGGATTTCAGCAGAAAAAGGAGGCAGCGGCCTTCCTGCGCGAGCGCGGGGCAGTGGTGGTGAGCGGGAGCTTGGACATTAAGGAGTCACGAGCGGCACAGCAGCAGCAGCAGCAAGAGCAGCAACAAGAGCAGAAATAGCCTGTGGCTACCACAAAAGTGACGATGCCTGTGTAACACCGTCGCACGCCGCCCTGGCGCCGCACGCCGCCCTGGCGCGCTGCTGGGCGCTGTGCTGTGGCGCAGAACATCTATCCGCGTCGCTGGCGCGTGTCCATGTACAGTCGCCTACCATGCGCCGCCCACATGCCGCTCCCACACAGGCGGAGCTGCCTGCTCGGAACGAGGCAGCGGGCGATTTTGGGACGCTCAGCGCGGCGGCTCTAGAGCTCATCGCGCAGCACGTCATCTCTTTCAGAGACAAGTAAGTAGATGGGACTCGCGGGTGGTATGCTCAAATGGCGGGGTCTGCCATCTTGGGCCGGCGGTCTGCCACCGCCATGCCGCCGCCACCCAGCCTGCCGGGCTCCTACCCTGCCATTTCAGACTGAACCTGTTGCTGGTCAACCGTCACTGGTGCTCTACCCTGCGCGGCTCCAACACACTGTGGGCTAGCACCGTGCTGGACCTCGAGGAGGCAGACGAGCGGCAGGTGGCTGGCATGGTGGCGTTCATCGCTTCACGAGCACGGGTGAACACAAACATCATTCTTTGCGCCATGCATGTAAAAAAACACGGTTTCCTGACTATATGCTGCTCTGCTTCATGCGCTACGTCAAAGCAAACACTGTATCATGACTGCACGCTGCTCTATGTCACAAGCCACTCTAGCTCGTCTTGCCACACCATGCCCTGTAGGGCATCCACGACCTGGAGATCTCATTTGGCCGATACAGCGACTGGCCCAACCTGGGTTTCATGCTGGGCATGCTGCGGGGCACGCTCCGCCGCTGCAGCCTAGTCGGCCTCGACGCCGACTGCGAGCTGCCCGCCAGCGGCGGGGCCTGCTTGTACGCCCTTCGCGGCTTGACCTCCCTCGACCTGGACAACTGCCTCCAGTCTCTGTCCCCCAGCATTGGCCAGCTGACGTCCCTCCGCGAACTCTTGGTTTCGCGGGAGGATGGCCCATCACCGGAGTTTGACGTGCCCTCAGAGATATCTAGGCTGCAACAACTGTCGCGGCTGGAGCTGGTCCGGTGAGCCGCCTTTGTTGGCGTTGAGCGAGTTGTGACACAAGCTGCTGACCCCCTTGTTTCGACCGCTGCCTGCAGGTGCACAGCGGCGCTGCCCATGGAGCTTTCAGCACTGTCCAGGCTGCGGCTGCTCAATCTGGAAGGCAGCGACTTGTGCGAGTGCCCCGATAGCGTGGACATCATTCTGCAGCAGCTTTCGCTGTTGGAGGAGCTTGACATGGGTGGCTGCAATCTGCAAGGTGCGCTTTGTTAATTCAAAATCAGTTTGTAGCATTTAGGTTAGTTGTTTGAGTCGTCCCTCCTGCTCGTGTTTGCAGACGTGCCCTCTGCAATTTCAAAGTTGTCTCATCTCTCCACTTTGAGTCTGCACAATGCGTTCCTGCACTCGTGGGATGCGGCCACCTTTGATGCCAAGCTGGCCTGCCTCAGCTGTCTACATTGTCTGCTCTACCTGGACATGAGCGAAAATGTCAGTCGCGCTGCAGGCAGCCGTGTTGCGTCGACCGTCTCCTAGACAGCAGCAGGCAGCTGCTCATTGCACACCTCTGGCCATGATCAAACTTCTCCCCACCCATTGTCTTGTGCTGCTTGTTGCAGGAGATGACGGCTGTGCCACAGCCCGTGGCTGGCCTGGGCCGCCTGGAGACGCTGAAGATGGGGCTAAACCCGCTGGTGGATGTCGCCGATGGCCCCTATCTCGAGTCGCTGCTGCACCTGGACCTGCGGGGCAGCCGGATAGCCACGTTGCCGCAGGTAGCAGCCACAGGGCGGCAGCGGCAGGGCGCAACGCCTGTCCTGCTTCTGCTGGGCCGGCAGCTGGCTGCCCTCCACTCTGGGCCTCACTGTGTGCCTGGACTGCGTGTCTGCAGCATTTGACGCGTGCGCAGCGCCTCCAGGTGCTGGGCCTCTCCTGCTGCCACGAGCTTGTGCTGGACAGGTAGGCATGCGGCACGTTGTAATCAGCAGCAGACTGCCAGTTCTGGACAGCTGTTTGTTCCCCAGCGCACCGCTGTGAAGTGCTCTTGCCGCTCCTCTGCAGCACGCTAGCAAACGACGTAATCGGCAGGCTCAAACACCTGGAAACCATCATTCTGTGCGGCCAGCAGATGAACACCGTCGACTCGGCGCGCTGCCTGCTGCAACTGGGCAAGATGCTGCCTCACCTTGAGGTCAGCAGCCACGGGGAGGCCGACACAGACGACGATGAAGACACAGACGAGGACTCTGAGGAGGACTCTGAGGAGGAGGGTAAGGCCGGAGTTTTTGTGAGTTGTGCGTGGTGCACAACGCATCTGGACGCCGCCCAGCCGACTGAATGCTTGGCCTCATCCACTTGCAGAAGAGAGTGAGTTTGAGACTGAGGAGGACGATTTCACTTCTGAGGATGAGTTTGACAGCGAAGACGAGCACTACGAAGGGGGGCTGGACGAGTACTAGCTGCATGATCCTGCTGGCACAATACTCCCTGTGGTTCCTCGGGCGGCTTTGCACGTGGCGAGGGCTCTTTCTCCTCTCCACATTGCTTTTGCTGCATTTTATTGACTAGATGCACGCATACATGCTGTTTTAAACAAGATTAGACGATAATGGAAGTGTAAATTTTGGACAGCAGGGTGCATGCTGCAAGAAGGACATAGCGCGCAAAGCACACAGCTCAAAATCATATGGCATGCCTTGTGATGCGGCAAATACCCTTGCCAAACTTCTTTATCAAGAGCTCCAGCTCTGGATTGGCTGGTGTAAGAAAGTAGTGGCAGAGTACCTTCTGGAAGTATCAGGTGCAGGTCTGCTCATCTCCCAGTCCGGCGGCGGCGGCGGCGGCGCGCGTGGGCGGCGCCACCCAGTGGCCGCTGGAGGAGGCTGCGTTCTTTGCAGCGAACTGCGATCCACATTGGGATTTTATTCAATGGCAGAACTCCTCAGTACAAAATGCTGTACGGCAGCGGCGACAAATGCCTATTCTTCTCGCATTCAGCACCCCATCCATCTCTCTCTCTCCAGGCAAGACGTGCGCAGTGCCCACCGTCAACCAGCGCTGCCCGTTTCCTGCTGAGCCGTTTCCACAGACTCGCGCCTTTGCAACAAGTCTTTTGTACACGTTTCTGAAAGGCATACATACACAGCAATGCCAGGTGCGCTTGGCTAGACTTGGCGTTTGGTGCCTGCCAGGCAGCAACGGGCCTGCGCTGCTGGACACTTAGTTATGCAAGTCACAGGGAAGCATGATTTGAGAGACCGGCCTGGACCGCCTGCCGCCTCGGTGTCGGCAACCCGCCGCCATCGGGCGCCGCCACCATCGGGCGCCGTGCCATGCTGGGTTTTGACGTCGGAATCCGCCCCACGCGCTGCTTTCTGCAGGACGGGAAGCCGGCAAGGCGAAGCCCCTCAAGGCCCCAAAGGCCAAAGGCAAGGATTACGACGAGGACGACAAGGCATTCCTGCAGAAGAAGAAGGTGGGGGCCAGCGCAAGTGATGTCCCTGTCCTTGCACTTGGATGCTGTGTGGCTAGCTACCTCACCGGACCTGCATGACCTGCCCTTTGCTACAGGAGGAGGAGGCCGCCCTGAAGAAGGCGAAGGAGGCGCTCACCAAGGGCAAGAAGAAGTAGCGAGCTCGGTGGCAGCGCCCTCTCCCTCTGCCGGCTTGCCAATGGAGCGAGGGAGCAGAGACCGCGTGGGCTTGCTGGCGTCACAGCAGCAGCCACAGCAGCAGCAGCAGCAGGCTGGCCCGCAGGACTGCATGCAGTGCCGTGTGATTGGCAGTGGCGTGTGCCTAGCGGCCAGCGCGTACCTGGCGATGAACAACTATGCGCAGCAGCCCGCTGGCCAGGTGCACCGCGCAGTCATGCTGGCGGCCGCAGGAGGTTTTCTAGCGCTCGGCATCGCCCGTGCTTTGATTTAGCCATGCTCGACTGCCGAGCGACACCTTATCGTTGGCTGTGAAATTTGTCGCGATGCAGTTTGCCCTTGTTTTCTGAAACCGACACTTCCAAAGTGCTGGCCCCAGTGCAGTGGCAGGTAGTTGCTATCGCAGCATTACGGCACTATGAGGCTACATTTACAGCATCAGGCAGCTCCCTCATGTCATGCTGAATCAAATGCATTGCACAATCAAATACGCCCTTCCCGCCCCTGAGCTATCGAAGCAGGATGCCGCCTCGCACCATATTGAGCAGCTTCTCAAAGATGGTGACCCCCGCCTCGCGGATGCCGCAGTGCAGGTATTCATTGGTAATCCACTGCAGCCAGGCCAGCAGCAATGGGCGGGGCCACCGTAAAAGGCAGTGGCTACAGGCGGATTATGTTCTGGTTGATGTGCCAGCCAGGGGCCAACACTGAGAAGTGGACATGCTGCGCACCTGGCGGATGCCCTTGATGTGGCTGGCCGTCTGCTGCCCCAACTCAAAGTCTACAAACATGTCCTGCACCAACAGAGGCGGCACCACATTCCAATGAGACATGGGCGCAGGGCGGCTCCCCTCGAGCACCACTACTGCCAGGGCGGCGACCATGCGGGACGTCCCTCACCGCACCTCGTAGTACGTCGCTGTCGCCACGGGCACCGAGTTCTCCTCCAACCGCCGCACATCATATAGCGCGGGCCAATCTGCATCGCCTGCTACTATCTCTGCGGCCTCCTTGAGTGGCCGAAGAGCAGCAAAATCCTCGAACATCCACGGGAACACCATCTCCCCTGCACGCGTGGACAGCACAGTCATGTAACCAGAGTGGATAACATTGAGCTAATCCCCTCCAGTGCTGCCGCACCAGCAGCATCAGCAGCACACCTGTGAACATGACCGGCTGTCCTGCATTTGCCAGTGCCACTGCATCAAAATCCTTGGCAAATTCCGTCTCCCTGCACAGCAGCAACAGAACACGAGGCGGCGGCTCACAGACAATGCCTCGACTTCAGACAGGGAGCCATGCTCGCTCCAATGCATGTGCCTCCGCTGACAGGCGGCAGCCTCAGTATAATGCAGCAGGCTGGAGGCTGCACGGCCCGACTTGCCTGATGCGCTGCGCCGACCAGTTGCTGGCAGCCCCCTGGCAGTAAATGGACTCGTGCAGCAGCGCATACAGGGGGTTGGTGTCCCATGACATCCAACTGTCAAACTCCTGCAGGCAACAGCAGTGCACCCACATGTGGATGGGCCTCTGATGGCCATGACAAGCAGGCGGAGAGCAGCCCCAGCAAGCAACAGGCAGCTAACCTTCTTGAACTTGTGGCTAAGCATGTCGCCATCGAAGGCGGTCTCTAAGAGGTAGTGCAGCCGCTCAAAGCCATGGCTAAACCCCAGCGTCTGCAGTCCCAGCAATTGGAAGCTCCTGCGAGGCAGCGGGGCGCAAGCAGAGGAGTGAATGAGATGAAGGTCTCGTAGGATGGGAACACGTCATTTGCCACAATGTTTTGCAAGAAAAGAAACTAACCGTGGCGTGACTTTGTTTCCCATGGGGGTCAGTACACCATCCGGGTGCTCTGCTAGGCACTTGACGATGCGCTGCACAAGTGCGAGCAAAACAAGGCAAGACAGCTCATGCCATGGCAGTGCTTCAAAGACGTGGCAATGGGTACGCAACAGTTATGCAGCCTGCGGAACAAACCGGCATGGTCAGCCCCCAACATGCTGTTGCTGTGAAGCTGCCCTTGCCTGCACGTTCTCTACATCCATGGGAAAGCGCTGGTAGAATTTGTGGTTCTGCTGCATCACGCGACGGTATGTCCGGCGGTACACTGCACAGCATGTAGAGAAGGCAGCAGGGATGGCAGGCATAAACACAGCTTGAAGTCTGCCCCTCAAACCTGGATGCAAATATAGCCACACGGCTACATCCTCAGTCAACAAACCCACCGGCAACCATACGCCCCTGCCACCCGCGTACCATCGTCAGCGCAGCAGGGCTGGGCGATGCCGGGCGGGATGCCCCCAGTGATGAGCACCTCCACTAGGCCCTCAGGTGCCAGCGAAAGGTATGTGGCGCAGCAGAAGCCGCCAAAAGACTGCCCCAGAATGCTCCAGCGGCCGCCCGAGGATCCGTTCTGCGGCACGGTGGCCCGCCGAATCATCTCCGCATCCCGCACAATGCTGTCGGCCCTGAAGAACTTCAGGTACTGTGCCTGCTCCTCCGGCGAGCCACGGCGGGGCAGGCTGTCGGGGGTGATGGGCGTGGAGCGCCCCGTGCCGCGCTGGTCCTGCGGCACCAGGGCCAGCAACAGGCGCAATGTGGGAAGGCAGCAGCCGGACCCACCCATCAGTCGGCAGCATGGCCACCAGTCGGCAGCACGGCGAAGGAGCAAAGAACGCCCCAGGGCCCGCAAGCTACCTAGAGATTGCAACACCATGGCCCAGCTGGATGCAGACACCGAGCCTGCAATCAATTTGCCGTGCAAAGCATGACTGACCAGTAGGATGATGCGGAAGTAGACCGAAGCCTGCTTGATCCAGCCGCTGGCCTCTGTGGGGCGTGCCGCTTCAAACCCGGGGCCACCTGCAGACACGCACCCAGCTAGATTGAGGGAACCGTAGATGGAGAGAGCCGTGGCCCGAGCGTGAGATGTGAAACACCAAGATGCAAAGCATCGCTGAGGCCCACTCAGCTGGCAACAGCAGGGAAGATGCGATCCACTCTCGCCGGCATTTAGCAACACCTCATGCCAGATTACCCCAACCCACCTTGCAAGAACAAGAGATAGCCCAGCCCTTTATCATCCTTCCTATTGCGATGAACCAGCTCACGAAAGAACACGTCGATGGTGCCTGGCACACGGCCTGCGGCAGTGCAAACAGAGACGCCGCATCGACCAGCAGCGGTCGGAAGTTGGGAGCTAAGAACGCACTGGGCTCCAACCAGAGTGCAGGGGAGGCGACTGGCGCCAGAAGGCAGGACTTGGCGACAGAAGGCAGGACCTGGCCCAATTGGCTGCCCGGAACCGCAACGCCGGGTATTCACTCACCGCTGTGATCCAGCGGCACGCGCATTGTGTGATCTGTCAGCTGTAGGCCTGCAGCCAGCGCCGCATGAGTGTTGACTTCATGCCAGGAGAGAGTGTGCGCCTGTGACCAGGCTAGCTTTGCAGGGCGGGCACAAGCGCCGCCGTCAGGCGAGGTGCCACGCCTGCGCCACCAAACACACCTGAAACGTTAATAGTCGCGCCCACATGATGCTCCCAGCTGCCGCTGCCGTTCACTCGCGGCCTCTTGATCGCTACTCCGTCGTGCATGGCGTTCACGCCACCTCTCGAGCACGCTCCCCGACGGTGTGGCGCTCCCCGATGGTGGGGCAGAAGAATGGCAAGCTTCCGAGCGCCGCTGTTTGCAGGGACCAAGTTGCTTGCTTTGCGGGTCGCCAGCATTAAGCACGATCGACGCAGGGTGGGCGCCTCCAAGTGCAGGGGTGCAAGTCTGGTTCCGGCCGGTGATCTTCCACAGCTGCAATCCAGGCGGCACCGCCAGCTCGGCGGCAGCGCGCGGAGCGGCGCAGGCTAGCCTTGTGCCCTCCAGCTTGGATGATGCTTGCAATATTGCAAAATCCAGAAATTAAGTCACCCGAGTTTATACAGGGGAGTGTGGCCGCCAACGTCACACAAACAGCGACAGCCGCTGGAAGCAACGCCGGAGGCCCACTTGGAAAGTCAGTTACTGTTTGCCGGAAAATAAATGAGCCAACAGCAGCAGGAAACAGGCAGTTTATACGTGGAATCCTCACTGTTCATGCCTGCTCCCATCAGCGGATCTGCACGTTGCGAATCTCGGGGTTGTATGCCAGCATCTCCCTGATGATCCCATCCCGGATTTGCTGCAGGCTGGGCTCCGCTATTGCTTCCTCGGGGCTGTTGAACAGCTGCATCCATGGAGCAGGGGCGACTGGTGGATGTTTGGCGGCTTGCACTCTACATCCTCCCCTGGGAATTGGGAGCTCCTCCAGCCACTCGCTCACCTGGGGGCACACAGGCTCATCGTTGGGGTCGTGCAGTGCAGCCAACCAGGGATGCGCCAGCGCCTGCTCCACTGTCACCCGCTTGGCTGCATGGAGTGGGGTGAAGGGCAGGCAGGTTTGCAAGGGGCAGCACGATCACAAGACACACGCGGTTGGCATTACAGCAGCAGAATGAGTCCACAGCAGCAGCAACGACAACACACCATCCTGGAACCCAGAAGCAGAAGGAGCGGGTTCGCACCTTGGTCAAATGTGAGCAGCCGGTCGAGCAGGTCGATGGCCTGCGCACTGGCGCTGGGGAAGTACTGCTGCATGTCTGCAGGGCAGCCATGCAAGCAACGACAGCAGGACCTTGAGGCAACGAACAACCAGTTTGGGAGGCACCAGCTTGAGACACAGGAAGCCCAGCTGGCCACTCCCAACATGAGCATGCGCACCTCCTTTGGGGAAGTAGGGCATGCTAGCCAGGTAGGCGCGTGCCTGGTCGCTGGGCACCGCCGCAATCTCCGCCGCCGTGGGGGTGCCAATCACCTTGCAGACCATGTTGAGCTGGTGCACAAAATCCTTCCCTGCCAGCCAGGCAGGCGTTGCATGCATTATCGAATGGGCAATTCGGGGGTAGCTGAAGGTTGGGAATGAAGGATGGCACCCTGTGCACACACGTGTGCCTTGCTCACACACCTGGGAACAGCGGCTTGCGGCCCAGCAGCTCTGCGAAGATGCAGCCCACTGCAGTAACAAATGCGTGGCCGAACACGACACAACAAATTCACTAACAGCAAACAAATGCACTGTAGCAATCAAATGCACTGCCAGCCCAATGCTATCAACCATTCTGCGCACCTTCTCCTACCCCACAATAGCAACATATACCAAGCCCTCCCCATGCGCACTACATTACAAACAACAACACACCTGACCACATGTCGATGGGTGCGCCATAGTCGCTGCACGACAGCAGCAGCTCGGGGGCGCGGTACCAGCGAGTCACAACATACTCCGCCATCAGCTCCTGGTTGTTGACCTCAGCACGTGCCTGCAAATTTGCAGGAGAACAATTGAGGGGTGGCAGATGAAGGGTGCTCATCTTGCCAAAACGCTGACAACTGGTCCACTGGCTGTTCATAGCATAGCACAAGTAGCTTGCACGAAGACCGGGCTGGTTGGCCAGGGGCTGCTTACAAGTCCAAAGTCGCAGATGCGCAGCTCGCAGTTGCCGTTGAGCAGCAGGTTGGAGGGCTTGAGGTCGCGGTGCACTACCCCAGCCGAGTGCAGATACTTGAGCCCCCGCAGCAGCTGGTAGATAAAGAACTGCACGTGCTCCTCTGCTTTCAGGATAGGCGGGATGGCAAGTGTGTCCAGCAGGTCAGATCAGGCAAGCAGAGCATGCGCAAAGGAGTGCATCTGCAAAGAGCATCCAGCCAGAAACTGTTATCGAAATTACGCAGGGACCCAGCACAACTCGCTTGCCTGAGAGTGGCTGTGGCGAGCGGATGATCTGGTGCAGGTCGGTGTCCATGATTTCATACACCATGTACACGTCCCTGCAAAGGTAGACACGTGTACAGGTGGCAGGGCAGGCAAGCAACAGAAGCAAGAGCGAGTGCATGCCCAAAGAAGAACAAAGGCAGACATCTTGGCACGCGTTGCGGTCGATGATTGGTGGACGACTCGCCCCAACAGCAGTCGGTGGCAGGCAGGCCAATTGCGCCTGGAGAGAAAATGAAGGTGACCTCTGGAGAGAAAATGGCAGCCTGTGCCGCCCACCTGAAGTCGTTGAGGCCCACCGAGGGTGGGAAGAGGTCCAGAAGGGTGATGACGTTGCTGTGGCCCCGCACGTGCCGCAGAATCTGCACGGCAGCAATACAAAGTTGCAAGGCATGGTTTGCTATCGGCATGAAATGCAGATGGCTACAGCAGCGCCGCCCTCACAGCAGCAGCTTGACCACACCTGGATCTCGCGCAGCGTTCGTCGCGCATCCAGCGGGTTACTGAAGATGTCTCCGATCTTCTTGATGGCCACCTGCTGGTTGGTGCGCGAGTCGATTGCGGCGCACACAATGCCGTAAGCTGCAGCAGGCGAGGGGTTGCCAAGGGTTGTGGGCAGGGGCAAAGTGGATAAGGGGATAGCACCAGGAGGCGCCTGGCAAGTGCACTGCCTGCTCAGATCCGACCAGCAAAACTCACCGCCCTTGCCGATGGGCTTCACCAGCTGGTAAACGGAGGGGCACTCGAATGTTGACCCGCTGACTCTGAACTGCAGCCACCGCAGAAAGTTGGTGCCGCCCGGGGTGTCGGGGGCGGGCACAGCCGCCATGGTGCCACCGTGTGCTGGGCCGAGGCAACCGTGACGAGGAGGCTGTTGTGCAGCGAACAACTATACGTTCAAGCTGCTTGTGGCAACTTTGCCGGAAGTTTGCAATGAGTCTGCAGAGACAGAAGCAACAGCAGTGGCAGGGGGCGAACCGCATTGGAGGGTGGGGTGGCGGCGGCAGGAGTGGCGGGCGCGCCGGCGAGACGCGCTGGCACCGTCGGTACCTCTGAATGGCTGTTCTAGGCGTTTGGAAGCGGTGGGCAAGCGAGAGGTTCGAGCGCAGCGATAGACGGGCGCCAGTCACGAGGCAAGGGCTGTGCCCTCGCTGTTGTTGCGCCTTTTGCGCTCGATGTTCGTAGTCTGTGCTTGGATGATAGGCGTGCGAGTGCGCAATAGTCACCATGCTACGCATGGTGTGCACTGCAGCAGGTCTCCTCCAAACATAGTGTATCCTGGGACCTGGGATCTGCTTCCAGCGATCGGAGATCGATACAACACCATGCCTGCGTGCGTTCTGGATGTCTCAAACATGCACAAGATGGGCAGGCAGGCAGCAGTCCCAGATCCAACTCCACAGCTTCCGTCTTATTGAAGGCTGTGGCAAGAAGGTCGCGGCCTATGATCACGAGCACCAGATGTGGAAATTACAAAAATCAAAGCAGTGCTGGCGAGATGTGCGTGCTCGCATGGATGGGCGGTGGCGGGGTGTACGAGGCACCCCACCGTAAAAACGCTGGTGCTCGTGGCGCCAAACGCAAAAAAGACAAGTGTCAAGGCTGCTGCGAGGTGGCCTGTAAGCTGCCAGCCATGGGTTCAATTAGGCCAGCCAGCTCACGCCGCTCATAACTCCATGAAAAGGCGGCGGACCTCCTTATAAATCTCCTCGGTATCGCGGTCGGCGTTGATGCGCGCCACCTTGCCCAGCGCCTCGTAGTGCTGGATCACCGGCAGGCTGGAGTCGATGAACACCTGCAGGGGAGCCATGCAGCGGAACTTGGATGCAGCAGGCTTAACCAGACAGCCGAGGCGGAAATCTGGTGCAGTCTGGGTGAAGATTACCTTGAAGCGCTTGCGGATGGTCTCGATGTTGTCGTCGGTGCGCCCCTCGTTGCGCCCCAGCAGCCGCCGCTCCATCACCTCCTCCGGGCAGTCAAAGAACAGCACCAGGTCCGGCATGATGCCTGTCTGCGAGTGTCGGAAAGAGCAGGGGCGCCAGTTGCGCCGCCAGGCAAGACACCCACTTGAGAGCAAGGTGGAGCAGATGGGAAACTTGATTCCACACCGAAAACCTTTGGCTGCACCTGGCTCTCAAACGAGGCACGGTTCTCCTCGTTGCGCGGGAAGCCGTCTATCAAGAACTTGTGCTTGCCGCTGTCGTCCATTGCCTTCTGCAGCAGGCTGATGGTCACCTGCATGGCAGGTGGTGCACGTGTGGCCCGGGGGGCAGGGAGGCGGGTTGGCTTGTGAGGAGCGATGGTGCAAAGCCGACAACAATCTCTGAGGGCTGGCAACCTGTCGGCAGCTGCTGCGCGGCAACCAGGGAATGGTGCACTGCTGCTTGGGGCCAGCAGGCATGCATGGCAGCTTGGGCAGCGGAGCAACAGGGCGCCCGATGCAAATGGATCAATGCAGCACGCCCAACTGCCGCCCAACAACCCACATGTGAGGGCACGATCTGGCCGTTCTTGATCATGTCTGCCACCATTTGACCCTCGGGGCTGCCACTCTTCATGTGTTCCCGCAGCAGGTCGCCGGCGCTGCATGAAAGCAGCAGCAGCAGCAGCGAGACTGCAGGGTGGGCCATCCAGTCAGCAGCCCTGGTGCATCTGCCTGCTCTTGGCGGCATCTGATGCGCATTGATGCTGTGCAGCCACCCCGCACCAGGCAGAGGTTGTTGCAGTGCAACAGAGGGCATCAGCCACACCCCTGAGGAGCTCTGCCTGCACCCGATGCTGGCCTGCCCTGCTGCCAGTCAGAATCACTTGCCAGCAACCCGCTGCCAGTGCGTACCTGAGGTGCACCACGCCAAACTCCTGCACCAGCCGAGCGCTCTGCGTGCCCTTGCCCGACCCGGGGCCGCCCAGCACAAACACCACCTTGTGCTTCACTGCGCCCTCAGCCACCTTGGGAAGCCCGGTGGGAAGCGGCGCCGCTGCCTGCGAGGCAGGCACAAAAGAGACAAGAGCGCCAGCCGTCAATCCCAGCCGTAGGAGGGTCTAGTCCTATCAAAGCAGCGCACAATGTGGATGTGCGATGGCACCACTTCTGCACGTGCCAACTAGCCAACCCCGACAGCAGGCATTGCCTGTGTCGAACGTAAGCCCTGTAGCTGCCCCACCTTGGCATCAGCCACAGCGGTGGTAGCGGTGCAGCCCGCCCTGGGAGGCTCGGCTATGGTCATGAATCCCGCGGCTGCGAAACCAAGCGAGAGTTTGGCCCACGGGAACTGCAGGCAACACGGCAGCAGGCGGCGGCGGCGGCGGCAGAGTTGCCAAGCAGTCGGCGACAACAGTGCAGCTCGGCGCACCCCCTGGCTACATCGGCGGGACCACAAGGCAGGCAGCGTGCTGCCAGCGCCGAGCACCTTGCCGCGTGCGAGGTTGGTGCTGGCCGCGGAGGTGGTTGCGGCCGGCTCGAGGGCGAGGGCGCCGGCTGAGGCCCAAGAACCCCTGCTTGCTGCTGCTGGTCTAGCGAGCGCTGCTACCGCCTGGAGCAGACGCTGCCTGGCGGCCATACAAGGTGCCGGGAGCGCTGGGAAGGCTGGACAGGCGGCCGCCAGCGATCAGCAGTGTGTCAGGGTCTGTGACCACCTATCCAATAGCCGTTTTGCGGCGCTGAAGTTGATTCAAGGGGCAAGAAAGAACGAGGAAACGCAACAGCGGCAGACGCGTCTTTTTCCTTCAGCATTGATCAACCGAGACAGAGTTACACATGTCCGTGTCGCCCTTGCCAATGGCTCCTCCGTTTCATCTGGCGTTCCCCACCCACTCAATAGCAGCAGCAAGGGAGTTTTACCTCGAGTGAGAATGATTTTACATCAAGTCGACAGAAGCAGCGGGGTGGCACCCCACTCGACACCCACCCACCCGCCCGCCCGCCCTCCCGCCCGCCCCGCTTCCCGCCCCGCAGCAAGCTGGGGTTCACAGAAGGACGCAGCTCAGAGCGCTGGGTGGACTTTAATGTGTTCGGACACCAACTCGTCGCGCACCTCGTGGACGGCTATCAAGCGGCGAAAACGCACAATCAAGTAGACGGCGATCCTGTGCCAGTGCCGCACTGGGGGCTAGCGCTGTCGGTGGAGCAGTTTCACAGCCTGGCTGCTCGCTGCCGGAATTCCGGTATAACATTTGCGATTCATCCCCACCTGCGCTTCAAAGGGGCTCCGGGAGAGCAGTGGACCATGTTCTTTTACGACTGCTCAGGTGTGGGTGTGCTGACTGCACCAGCTGGCTGTGGCGTGTCGGGGAGTGCTCATCAAACCTCCTTCAGTGCATGCAGGGAATGCCCTGGAGTTTAAAGCGCTGACAAGCCCAGGTGCGGCCTGCCTCTCGCTTTCTGCACCCTGCTTGGCCAGGCGCCTGTGGCTGGGCATGAACTGATGCAGTTTTCCGCTGCCTGCAGCCAACCTGTTCGCGCCCTATGTGATAGATTAAGCTCTGCCTTGCTGGAGGCGATTTGGTGCTGGATGTGGGGTGGGAGGACAAGTTACAGTTGCTCTCTAACCGCCAAAACACTGAAAGAGATAGCTTGAGTGCGGAGATGGCCCAAATGGGGGTCATCGGAGAGTTGGAAATGTCCAAGCTGCCATCTCCAAGCTGCATGTCCAAGCTGACATCAAGCTGCAGCGTGGCAATGCATTGGCGAATGTGCTGATGAGCAGAGCAATACACACAGCGAGGCAGGGGACTCGAATGAAACCCAGAATGGGGCTGGCCCAGGTGAAACACTAAACGGCAGAAACATGAATATTCTACTTTGTGCAGTCGAGCCACCGATTTAATTCAAGGCTACTTTATGCCATCACAACTTGTACGACTCGGACCCGGCCCGCCCGCCGTTCATGACAGGGGCGCCTGCATCCGAATGCGGCTGCCACGCAGCCTTGCGCTTGGCAAACAGCGACATGGCCACAGCGCCAATCAGGATGCCAGCCACCGCGCAGCCGATGCCGATGCCGGCCGCGGCGCCGGAGCTGACGCCGCTGCTGCCGGAGTCGGTGGAGGTGGGGGCAGAGGTGGAGGGGTCTGCATTCTGGGTGGCCACCTCGTCCAGGCTGGTCATGCTCTGGTATGCCTCGGCGGTTGAAGCACCAAAAAACGAAGTGAAGGGCACATCCACGGCCTGCAACATAGAAAACCACATTCGGGCCGGGGCATGGCGTGGCATAGACAATCAGGGCAGCTGATGCAGCCCTAGGCAGCAAGCAAGGCAGCTCTCCAGAGCCGGCAGCAGTACAATACGTCTCCTGGGTTGCATAACACTGCATGCCATTCAAACTTGCCAGCAAGCTCTTGGTGTCCTCTCCGAGCAGCAGATTCGACTCTCCGCCGATGCCAATCAGCGCGGTTGCCAGCTCAGTGCCTGCAACACCAAAGCAGGCACCAGGATCAGCTGCTGGCGGGAACTGCACACATGCGATGGTCAGCCAGCAAGCAATATGCTCCATGCTTACCGCCATCTGTCAGAGCCTTCTTGACAGAAGCCCCCAGAGGAGTGGACTGCATCTCGGCACGCGACATGACTGCAAACACACACGCACCATGCATGAGGTCAGATGCGGGGTTGTCACACCGCACAGTGCAAGGCAGCGACATCACACCACCAAGATGCAAGGCGGTGGCCGCTTGCCTGCACGTGCCGGCACTCTGGCGATGTTGCAGGTCTCGTACTGGTCGAGCGGCTTGCAGCCACCAGAGGGGCAAAGAAGCATCATATCGGCCTGCATTGGGTTTTCCAGAGCAGCAGCACAGAAACTAGTCAGCATGATGAAGGCACAAATGAATCGCACATCTATCTAGTCGCAAGCAAGCGCTGCTGATGTGGCAGTCTGCCAAATCTCACCTTGTTCAGGGTGGACCAGGTATCAGGCTCGGTGCCGTCCTTGGCGTACTGCAGGGGCGTGATGTGCTTGGTGAAGGCCACGCCACCTGCAGGGCAACAGACACGGCGGTATGGTGGGCCATCACTGCTGACCTGGCACGCAGCTTGAAGGCGTCGCGCTGCTGGCGAGCGGGCTTGTTTGCCACAGCATGTGGCCAGCTCAAGCCAACTTGCAGCTGCCAACGCACCTGCGCCCTCCATCAGGCAGCGCACGGACCCAGCGTAGTCGTAGTACGGGTCAGCTTCTGTACAGTCTCCCTGCGCAGGGGCCGGTTGATGACGTTGACAGAACAGCAAGGCATATTGAATGAACAAAGCCGCATGTGGGGCAATCTGCGATCGACACGGTGGCTTGGCCAGAGGTGACCATACCTTGCAGCCAGTGCACTGGCCGTCCCAAGTGCCACCGCTGAGCAGGGCACCGGTGCCGGCAGCGCATGTGGTGGAGAAGAAGGAGGCAACGCTCTCCGCATCTGCCTGCACCTCGTCGTTGTCATCCACGCGTGGGATCTGCAGAACAGAGGTGAGGAGCAACTTGCGGTCTCCTGTTAATTGAAGGCTCGGCTCAGCAAAAACAGCAGGCCACATTCTGAGCACAGAACAGAGCCTCACCACGTCGTTCCCAGTCATGTAGCCCACGGGCATCATCCAGCCTGCCGTTTTCCTGTAACCCGTATGGCAAGAGCCCTTGCCCTGCAGCATGCATCCGCAGGCAGCAATGAGAGGCAGCACATCTGGGGGAGCTGTGGCCTGGTGGGCACCAATCATCAAGTGATTTCTGTCCAGGGCAACACACCCACCTTCAGGTCGGCAAAGGAGCTGGAGTCGGCGCAGAAGTCCTTGGGCACCACAGCCACACTGTAGTAGGAGGCGCCAGCCAGGTCACCATAATACTCTGCGGGGCAGGGGAGGGGCGCGGCAGCGCAGAGAACGCCAGGCATCGGCACGAGGGCGAGCACGGGAGGTCGGGGGGCTCTCAGTGGGAAGCACAGCAGCGTTGGCAGCCATGCTTGCGCTTTGCTCTCCCACCTGCTGCGATGGGCTCGAGCTTGTACTGCTCGTGGGCTGGGAGCTGCTCGCTGCCTGCACACAAACATGGCACGGCACCACAGGTGTCTTGCTAGAGGGAGGCGGCAGCCTGCGCATCCGCCGTGGCTCAGTGCTACTACAGCGTAAAGCGCCCCCGCCCTCACCTCCGACGACCATCAGGTCGGCAGTGCCCTTGCTAATCATGTCCAGGCAGGCGTCATCACTGCCGCCAGCAACGCAGGCAAAGGTCACATCAGCCGTGTTGCCAGTGGCCACTGCAGTGTTGCACGCCTCGACAAGCACGGCATCCGACTCCACCGGAATGCACCAGTTCACAGTAGTTGCCGAGGCGCCCTGCAGAAACACGCATTGAACCGTGTGGGTGAGCATTGAGGGCAGGGCTTGCTTGTGTGCTTGTGTGGGCTTAAAGTCTGGTAAAGCAAGAACTAGCTTGCAACATAGACTCCCCGCCGAAACGGGACGGGAACCGGGCGAAAGCAGAGAAAGCAATAAAACAGGGGTGGAGCAAGGCGACATGCAACGCAAGCAGCTGACAGGGCACGCATCGAAACGTGTGTATGACTGGCAAAGTGGCATGGCGCATTGGGGAGAAACGCAACGGTACGGGAGCATGGGCTGGCCAAACGGCAGTGCGGAACGCTAGGTCACTAGAAAAGCAGGGAAAGGCGCACTATGTATGCAATGAGGGCAGCCCCGGCTCGGGGCCGTTGAGAAAGCAGTGGGCGGGAGGGGGGAGGCCCCGGTGTGGGCGGGCCCCATCGAGGGGGGATGG